AAGATCGGGTTGCGTAACTATATTTGTATTGATTACAACACTTTATTGATGAGGTCTAACTATATTTGTATTGATATTGATATATAGTATTAATAAAATAAAATATTACATTTATCACGTGATTTATAAGTTTATGTGTAATCTAAGATCCCCTGCTACCCCCACCCCCTAAAATATTAGCTAATATATGTTAGCGCCCTTATCTTAGGTGAACTTAATTCAGATCTATCGAGATCTCACAACCCTCACACTCAACTCGTTTTATAGATCATATTACAAATCATAATTTTATTAAGAAGTTTACTATTTACCACCACTGGTGTTCAGCACCGGTATCACGAATTTTCTTTTTTAGAAGTTTGTGTTATCTAATTTTGAATTATAATAAAATAAGAGAATAACCGCCTTGCATCATATGACCAATGATCTATGCCTTGAATACAACTCGCATCAAAAATCTACTGATCACCTCTGAACATAAAAGAATAGATGGTCAACATACTCAATCAGACTAAAAAAAAACTTTTCTGAGCTACATAAACAAGAAATATCGTAAGATTTAACCTCCGATCTATCTGATGCAGTGACAGAAATTCTGAGGCTATTCGAAGGAATCCCCACTATATCAACTTCATAAAAGGTTTCTTTTCACGTCAAGTCTCAAATCATCCTCTAAAACCAACCATATCGTCAGTTCCACAATCAGCCACTTGCAAGGCCTGTTCTATGACACAATATGAAAACTAGATGCACATTGCAAATGAAAGAACACTATTTGAAAAAAAAAATAAACACAAAATCATGTCCTATCTGATCACAAATCGATGATCCTATTCAGGAATAGGCTTCCACCATATGGATCAAACAGATCGATCTTTACATCTTGCTAAAGCAGCAGCTAGGAAACTTATATAAATAGCTACTACCCTTCTCCTTTTACTAATCAGGTGAATTACATTAAAAGGTGATTGGTCGACTCGATTTGCTTTGAAAAACAAGCACAAAAAAATGTATTTTTTTATCTACGTAATGTAAATAGCTGCAGAATGTAATAGAATATATGCTGTACTACATCTATAATAAATAAACTCAAATAAGAGAATAAGAATCAAATGTAGTTAACCAAAGCTTTATTTGCAAAACTCACATGATACAATACATATATGCTAACAATACGATGATTTCTTTCAATTTGAAAGTTAACTACATAAATTTGCCTAATGTAATACGATTATCTTCCACTACTGATTTATATCGCTTTGGAGATTGTCCTTTTAGTTTGTAATACTCAGGATTTGATACTTCAGGAAGATTAATTAAAGGTTGTCATATAATTTGTATACTTTCGGAGGAGTCTTACAAATCCTGTGATATGGTATTTGTAGATAAAACTGAATTTTGAGTATCCGCTATACTCAACCCTGTATTATGATGATATTTCATAATGAATTGAGTTAAAATTCCAATTAATTCAGTTGTAGCATCTTCCATTATAGCAATCTGAATGCTTGATTTGACCATAGACATTGCAGTATCAAATTTGACTTTTTTGCTAATCTGCTCTCTAATAGCTGGTATAAATACATTAGCAGTTCTCAATTGATTAATATATGTCAATGGTATGCTGGTATAATTCCTTTCTCCTTTAGCAACTGTAATAAAACTTGTTGTATCGGATGGAATTGAATTAAACTAACATGTATGAATAAGTGAGATGTTGAAAATTGCTTTATTTGATTGAATAAGAATCCTATATTAGTGTCTACATAGTAAACCTTGATTAATAATACACATATATGTGCAAAGCAATGTTGAATCATTAAGCAAAACAACATAATGTGGTTTGGGTGATTTTGACGCAATGTAAGACACTTCCCAGATTTCTTGAATGTCATTATAAAATAAACTGCTAAGAAGGTCTCGCAATCGAATTTGTGGCATATCATAATTTTGTTCTATTATACCATCAGTAATGACATCACCTTCTTGAACCTTAAATTATAATAATGCAATATGTTAATATTATAAGTAGTGTTACAGGCAAAACAATTCAATTTACAAAATTATTTCTAAATTGAGTTTGTATATTCGCCTGCATTACAAAATGATTGACAAATATATTACCTGATTAACTGAGACTAAAGTAGCTTGATAAAGCAACGATTGTTTCATTTGAGCTCTTTGAAGAGACAATGGGATAGGCGATAAAAATTCTTGTAATAAAGAATATAATTCTTTGAAAATGGTATCGTATATTGAAGGAAGACTAATAGATGGATTTGCCCTATAATAATCTTTAATTCGTGTATATTGAGTTTCTTTGTCTAATTTGTTTTCAATAGCCTTAACCAGTTCTTTTAGTAATGTGCCTCAGTTCACCATTTTCTTAATAATTCCATTAATAGATTCGATACGCTGGATGCTTTCTATTCCTGCTGTGAATATTTTTGCTATTTCATATCTTACCTAATATCTTCTACTAGAATAGAGTCATTTTTCAAGATATGATCGACATGGTTCATATTTAGTTAACATTTTACAGTATTTCATATCAAATTGTTCTTTATTACAGCTATTCCTCATAATATAAAAATCTATTACAAAACTTTTTGCCATATCACCTCGAAGCTTAGATCTTGCTTTCTTTTTAACATTTTCAAAAAGATGGTAGATGCATAGTAAGTGGCATGTCTGTGGATAGACTATCTGAACAGCTGCTATTATAGCTAGGTCATTGTCAAAAAACAAAACCTTGGGTGGAAGATTGTTAGATGCTTGTAATATACATTGAAAAATCTAATTAAAATCGGCCTGATTTTCATATTTAGTCAATGCTTGTGCTACTATTCTTGTTTTATAATTATTGTCTACAGTAACAAACAAGCTAAGAGCTATCTCGTATCGATTTGTTTTTGAGGTAGTGTCATATACAATGACATCGTGAAATTTTAGCCATAAATCGGTACATTGTTGACTTGTCATTCAAAATAGCCCTATGAGTTCATTAGCCAACCCTTCTAATCGTGGTATACCAATGTAATTGGGATCGTTTTTGCATTGCTTTAAGAGATATAAAAGCATTGTGGTGGCATCAGTTTCATCGTGAATTTTAACACCCCGGAATTTTTGAATTGCATTATATAAGTTCCTTTTTCCAATATGATGCTGAAGAAATTCTTGAACAAGCAGTTTATATTGCTGTTCAACTCCTAGATGCCTATTTGTGATGTAGTGTTCGATTTTGTCTAGAATTTGCTGTGGAAGTCATAGGTTTTTTGGCGCCAATTCAATGATTTTCGGATCACATTGATGGTTATGTTTCTATTCAAATTTGGTAAGACGTATGAGATCTATACTCTTTCCAAGATAAAAATTAGCTTGCCATAGACAATTTATTTTGTATGAAGTATAATCATGGTGCAAACTAATGTCCTCAACCTTCTTTGATTGATGAGTTCTAGATTTTAACAAGTATAAATACGATGTCAAATAATAGATTTATCAATGGGATCAATATTCTTATGATGTTTATTGGCCACAAACCCGTTCTGTTTTGCATATGAATCAATGGCCATTTGGATCAATCCCCAGTTATTGAATAAATCACTAATCTTTAATGCAACTTCATTCACATTAACTAGATTATCATCATCTGTATCACTTTCTTTGTAAGTGGGTGATTGATTTTCCAAGAAGATATTGTTTACATTGCTTTCTTCGAAATATGTAAGTTGAACTCTCTCATTATCCATTGAGAAAATGTGAGGCCCGGACTACAACCTAATAAAAAATGGCCAATTTTATAAAAGCTTAAGGTGGTTGGGTGTATTTGCTAACAGAATATATAAGACCTGGACTAAGTATTTTAATGAGAAAATAGACAATTTTATAAAAGCTTAAGGTCGCTAACAGAATGTTACAAGCCGCATCAATAATACAATATGAAGCAAAGTTACTATTGTCTTTGTATTCACGTAATATTACGAACATTACGTCAATATTTGGTCACGTTAAGTATAACATATTTTTTGAAAATGATCACGTATTAATTATTACGTGAATAATGCGTATTTATTATGTAATAAATAAACATATCACGTGACACTGGCGCTGAGCACCAGTGGTGATTCAAAGTAATTTTCTTTTATTAATACCTATGATTTTATTAAATCAATGAGAAATGTTAACGAACTTCATACATATGTCTCTGGCTCTTCACGATCGACTATTGATCACATTTTTATTGCTTTTTCTTTAATTCCTAATTTGAATGACCATCAAGTTATTCCAGTGAATTCATCGATATCTGATCATTATATAGTTTCCGCCTCTATAACTCTAACCTCGATCATTTCAAATTTTAACAATACCTCAATGGTGAAAAAACTAATCTTTAGATACTATGATATGACGGATGAAGATTGGTCAACATTTGCTAATGCTGTTGATGCCCGTTGCAAAAAGTTGACAACATTTATAACATCCATAAGCTCAATTTCACATGGGATCTTCTACAAAAAGCTATTATAGATGCTAAGTTTAAATGTATACCAAATAAATATACCTCACATCATACTCGTAATCTAAGACCAAAATTACTTAAGTTAATATATAAATATATTAAACTTTTGTATAAGTTGGAGCGAATTTCCAAAATATGTCTTAACAATGGGAGTTACAATAGCAAATGGAGTACTTTATTTGATAAAATTTCATCATTCTCAATGGAATACGACATCCTATTACCCACTTTTACATCTTATATATTGTCTTTGATATCAACTACGTTAGCTAGTCTCAAAAGACTTAAAAAAAATATTAATAGCTGCTGCAAAGATACAAGAATTAGATTATAAATCAAAATCAATACAGGAAGCGATAGATTAAAGATGTGACAACTTTACCACAGATCAATCAACAATGTTTGATTCTCTCCTTGACCGCCCTAGGACAACTATTCAATTAAATCATTGTATCAACAATAACAGCCTATCCAAAGAGTTACTTATAGACCCTGCAGATATAAAAAGAGAAACAGCTCGACATTTTCAACAGGTAGTAGGATCTAGACACTCCAATCTATTGCTTCCAGATCTATGGAAAGATGAATACAAACCTTTAAATGATATTGATCCTAGCATTTATAAGTCTCTTATGCAACCTCCCACTGAAGAAGAATGGTCTGACATTCTCAAATTGCTACTCAATGGCAAAGCTCCTAGCCCCTCTAAAATATCAAATGAAATGTTGAAACATCTTGGTCCTTTCGCATTCAAATGTCTATGGAAGATTGCCTCTAATTGCCTGATGCATAGTTTGTCACCTCATAAATGGAATCTGGCTTTTGTATATCCAATTCCAAAACTAAAACCATGGGAATTTAACCTTAATCATACACGACCGATCACTTTGTTAGAATGTTTCAGAAAGGCTATCATTAAACTTATTAACAGTCAACTTCTTACCATTTTAGCTAAAAATAATGTTCTCAAAGGCAACAATTTTGCTGGTCTCCCCTTTAGAAGCACCTTTGAACCAATTAATATTCTTAACAACATTAAATATGATGCATTATTTCATCACAACAACCTTTGGATTTTATTTCAAGACATGTCAAAAGCATATGACAGAGTCAACCTTGGAATGTTAATTAGAGCGCTTACTCGACTACACCTGCCGATGACCTTCATCCAACTAATAATTTCGATCTTTACCCTTCGTTTTAATCAGATATTTACTGCGCATAGTAATACTGATATCTACTATGTTCTGTCGGGTATAAACCAAGGTGAAATCATCTCTCCGATATTATGATGCATTTATTATGATCTACTATTATGCAAAATACAAAACTTCACGTTAGGCTACACTTAAAACATCAATTGGAGGAATGATATTACAAAAAACTTCTCAACCCCTTTCACAAATCATATCCCAGCACTCGCTTATATGGATGATACTCTCTGGATGGCAGATTCTAGAACTGATCTCCAAAACATTATGACTCTTATAGACTCCTTTTTCATCCTTAATAGTATCCAAGTAAACTGGGACAAATCAGTTCTATTAATGAACAATAAGGATACTAGTGCTGTTAACTTTACCTTTAATGACAAAGATGTTTAGCTCTCTCTATTTTCGCATAAAGACTCAACTCGTTATTTTGATGTCTGAATATCACTTTTTGATAACGTCCCATATATCAAAAATCAGGTCTTTATGGAATTCAAAAAAGTTAAAAATGTTCTAGATAAAAAATGACTCATAGCCAAATAAATTGTGACAGTCTTTAATTCTGTGATCATCCCTAGGATTATTTACAAAATTAAATTAACCTTTCTTTCAGCAAATTTCTATAATTTTTTAATGGCTTCGTTTAGAGCTTTTTTCAAACAAACTTCATCTTACCAAGTCTTTGCCTGCCCTATTATACACTCAACATTTGGATACAACTTGGCCCACCTCTATGATAAACAAATGTTAGCAAAATCATCTGATTTCCTTAAAATAATCAATGACATTATTCTGCTAAGCAATACTGCTAGGCTGAGAATTATGCAACTTCAGCTTCTAAAATGATTATATCTATCACCTGTTACCAGTTGGCTCTATGAGAACTCATTACTTTTTAAAGACTGGTGATCTTTCTTTTTATCAGCAGTTAAATTAGAAGGTCTTACTTTTGGAAAATATTTGGATGAACACTTTGATTTAACTCAAATTATGGGGATCTGTACCTATCTCAGCAGTTTTACCTATGAATACTTATAGGAAATCCATCAAGAATATTCGTATTCTGTCAATCATGTTTGTGGATCAGCTTACCTCAATGGATAGATGCTATCTTTTTACATTCTTTGATATCAACTGGCTTCTTAACACTAATATTTCACGTGCAAATTGGTTCCTGAGTTTAGAATCTCGATTTATTCCTAACACATCTAATAGAATCATGACACCTACATGTCAACCTCATTCTTTGATATGTGATTTACCTCTGACTACCATTAGATTAAAAGAGGATAATAACAATAATCCTACTTTCATAGTTATTTGGTCCAACCAATTTATAATCTACATTATTGGAAAAGTTAAAGCTATTATTAATGACATAGTTTACATCCAACATTATATACTGACATATGACTCACACTTTAGAGCTGATATTAATCAATGCAACAGATGTAACCTTTTTGATCTTACAGCAATCGTCACTACCATCCATAAAAATAAAAATAACTTCTGTGTAATGAAACTTCCACTCCAATTCTATACAGAAATCAAAATTCAATACAACAAACACATAGGATAGAGATGCAGTTTTTCTGATTTATGTTAAGAGAGGTTGCCTTATCTAAATTAACTAATCCATATCAATATCCAAACAGACCAATATCCAACCTTGATGTTTTACCATTTGATACTCATTCAATAAATTTACTTAATGATTTTAAAACTAATTTTACTTCTGCCCTTTTTTTCAATTTTATACAGATGGTTCTCTAACCTCGTTAGATTCTTCAAACGTTCGTTTGAGTATTACGTGATTGCAGACTACTCCTAATTAGCTATCATTATCCTTCAATGCTTCTCTTTTTTCACAAAGTCCTTCTTTTACTCTTGCAGAAATAGTAGCTATTTTAGCCGCAATCTATATTTCGCCTCACAATTCTGATATTGAAATCTGTACTGATTCACAAGCTGCTATTTCCTCTTTTCATAAGCTGTCTTTTCTCTTCTGTGATTCACTATCTATCAATCCTGCTTTCAAACTTCCATATTTTCATATATGGTCAATGTTATTCAGCTTGTTAGCTCAAAAATACATAGCAGTTTCTTTTACCAAAATCAACGCACACACTGATAACCTCCTCAACAACAAAGTAGACAAACTTGCAAAGCAACTTCCTGCTCACCAATTATCCATCAACAAAGATCATTTGGGTTTAGGTTACTATCTTTGCTATTATTCCAGTCCTATTATAGCACCTCATCGTCTCTTCATAAAAAATAAAATACAAGCTACGTGGGCTGAATCCCTATTGTCATTACCATATCTGAGGCCATATCGTGATAAATCAATCGACTGGACACTTCTCTTCAAGATTCTCAATAATGAAGAATTGTCTTGTAAAACATCCTTTACAGGATGCTTCAAAAAGAAATTCAAAATCAAAATGTTGCTTCAAATGCTCTCTACCTTAGAAGTAGTACATACTTGCATTCCTGATATATATACCTCAGCATAATGCTTCCGCTGTCGCTTTTTTATTGAAGATTATGAATACCTTTGGCTATATTCAAAGAACAACCCAACCCTATATGATATTATTGCTAAACACAAAATTGCATTCATTACTCATCTTCAGGAATTGAATACTCTAGTAGATGATTCACTAATACAAGAAATATGATCAGATACTATTTAGACTTCAGTATCCACTTCAGCTAGTTTTTGGATTATTGACTTACTCAAAGGCATTATACTCTTATTATTATCAAATAAAGTCACTGCGTGTATATCTACATCAGCTCTGTCACATGGTCTACTATCATCCCTTTATCATGATTTTTCTACGTCCTGTTTTGAGATATGGAATAACAGAAATGTTACTCTCAATGAATAGTAATTTGATAATAACATTGAAGATGACTTTACAACTCCTTGGATCTCCTCTGGATTTCCACACTCCCCCTCTAATCCTATCACATCAAACCCCACATCCTTTTTAGCAGCTACCACCTATAGCTCACACTGGTCAAAATTTTGAAACGGTAGTAATCACGCCCTCTCTTTCAGACATTTGATAGCTGTACAATAGTTTAGTTTAGTTAAGTTTTTCTTTTCTTTTCTTCTCTGTTTATAGTTTAGTTCGGTAAAGTGCAAGGTTGGTATTGATAAAGTAGTTTAGTTTATAAATTAATTTATAGATATTTTTGTATTTTCTGTTTTATTATATGTACCTAGTATTTTATAAATTTAATAAAGA